TGATTCACCTCTCTAATTGGCACAAGATTTTTCTGCATTAAAGTCCTCTTCTGTAGCATAGGACAGGGCATCTTAATTAACAGGTATAATAAGAGTCCTGATATTAAATTGTGAAGTTTTTCAGTGATGACTAGAAAGATAGTAAAAACTCAGTGACATTCTTCCACTTGGGTCAATATATAGGAGTTTCTTCATACTACAGGCTTGACTTTTGCCAACTTCCTCTCTTTTGATTCTGTCATAATTGCTCTTTCCCCAGGTATGCAAAAATGAATTGAGACTTCTTTCATGATCACTAAACTTGTATAATGAGTTAATAGGCGTTACAGTGCAAGGGCAGTCATTATTTCTTTATTGTTTCTTCTAGTTGCTGAGTTCCTGGTTTGCAAAAGGTTTCTATTCTCTTCAACCTAGCTCCTGATGAAGCCTATCTGTTTACAGTATGTAGGTAAAATGACAAATAAGAGAAGTTGTACAATGAAGTGGCATAAGAGGATTTAAATCTATCTATGCAAAAATTCCTCCCCCCCCCCACTTTGGTGATTTTATTACATGCCATGAAATGATATAGAATAGAGCATACTATGTTTTCCCACCACTACACTCAATGGATTTCATCTATGTTTAACTGGCATGGGTGCATTAACATGCCATACTATGATTTAAGAGGGTTGGTACTGTTGCCACAGCTCTGTATAACTGTCTATGAAGATTCTCAGTCATCCAGGTCATGGTTGTCCCAAAGGTGCTTTTTCAAAAGGCAACTGGACTTATTTTTCCTGAAGACATTTTGTTTCTCATCCAGGAAGTTCTGAGTCACAATTGAAGAAACTTCCTGGATAAAAAGCGAAACATCTTCAAGGAAAAACAAAGTCCAGTTGCCTTTTGAAAAAGTACCTTTGGGACATCTATTATAAATACTGCCTTTGACTTTATGCCATACTTTCCTTTTAAAACTTAATCATGTTGGCTATGATTGGCCATATGACTGACACATTGGATTATTTATTAGGTTTATAAGCCTGTTGCTTTGACCTGCTAAATGGAGAGAGAGTGATCAATATGTATTTTTAATTCAGGTGAAACAGTTCTATCTTCAGAAATTTCATTTATCAAGGTAACAGGTAATTCTTGGTTTATTAGCACAATTGGAACTGGAATTTCCATTACTATGTGATGTGGTTGTAAAGTGTGATATCACATCACATCATCACTTATTAACTGCAATCCTGGTTGCCACTCTAACTCCAGACACATGGGTTCTTAAGTGGAGAGTCCCAGGTAAGAAGCACAGGTGTGCTGTGGGTAATGGGGGAGGCCCTGGGAGACTTGGTGCCTGATTTCTGGGAATGCTGCAATGTGTGTGAGCTCAGGGAGGCTAGGGAAAGAGGGTGTGATGTTTGTGCATGCATATGTGCAAGATAAGAAAGGCCAGGAAAAGAATATGCTGTGATTCAAGGACTTCATGATATGCCATGGCCCTAAGACCAGAAGCTGAAAAATAACCTGACTGATAGGCTACTGATATCATCAAGATGCTGAGAAATTAGGCATATTTCTAGGATTCCTATTTCTGATTATGGATTCACCTGTAGGAGAAATTGTGGCAGTCCTATCTCAGAATCTATAGGAATGTCCAAAGGAAAAAGGGAAATATAATTTTCTAAGGCAAATATGGGATGGAGAATGAATTACAGGTGAGAATAGATTATTCAAATGTAGATTATTCAAATATAGCTAACTAAATGTTGCTGGTTTGGAACATAACAGATCATATTTGTCATTGCATACCTAGAATTATCAATGCAAGTACCAAATCATGTAAATTCTCAGATAAAATGAGAGTAGGTAGGAGGTGTGTTTCCAAGACAACATATTGCCAGAAATATGCAGCAAGGTTGAAGCACTTTAGTCAACTCAAAATATTTTTCAGATTAAACAAAAGACTCCATACATTAAAACAAAATAAAGAAATGGTTAAAAAGGCACAAATGAAAGGCATAAATACACAAAATCTGAGGTTTAATATTTTTATGTTGGTGAGTTTATTAGATGTTGCATTAAAATAAATGGAAATGCTTTCAAATACATGCACTTAGCCAGTATATATTCCCCAATCTATAATAGTATCAAAATTCCTCTGCTGTGTCAGTGATTCTTAAGCAATAACTCAGCCTAGGATGCTTACCAAACTTCAAAAGTATTGCTTGTTTCTTCTGCTTTGCTTTTAAAAGAGATACTTTTTAAAAGTGTTATGTCATTATAGAATATAAGAAACAATGAAAACTTTCCAAGATGTCTAAAAGTTTGGAATTAATACAAGAAATGAATACTTAAAATTCATTGTTCTTACAATGTTCTTTTATCAAAATAGTGATATAAAATTGTAATTGTTATAACAACTGGGAAAACACTGGCCTTGTTCACATGGCACACACCAAAAGTAAGCAGGTCACATGAACTTGAAAAGTAGTTAGCATCCCAAACAATGAACCCTAATTGAATTCAATGTGGCTCCAAACAGAACCGGTTTGAAGTTAAATTCCTCCTGCCTTCTTTAGAACATGTTCTCCAGACATCATGCAAAGAGGCTTAATACATACTTTGTACATTCTCTTTCACCTATGCTTTATTTATACAACAGAACTGGTCTGGATTGGATAATGCAGTGAGTTATATTCTGGTTTAGCAAAAACAAACAATCATATTCTTGACTTATGATTCTGATTTGCAAGGAAAATCAGAAGGTCTGATTCAGACCTTAACACAAAACAAGCTAAGGGTGAAAACTTTGCTTGTTAGCTGCTATCATTGGTAGCAATCCAGGTGTAAGATTTGATTGTTTTTTAACAGGCTGAAATTCTAAATAATTCATACTGTCCAAATCAGTTTTGACATTAGATATTTCACCTCACAAGATTATAATCAGAAGTATAAGTATATAGTGGTTAATTAGTTTAAAATACCACGCCCAACTTCACAGTTGATTAGAAAGTTTTAATTGTGAAATTATTTATATAAATTACATGACTTATAGCATTTGCAAACAATTCTAGCTTTTTTCATAAATACTTATTTTAAAAAGGTTCCTGTGTTACATTTGGACAGTAGATTAGCCTTTTTTCTCCTTAGAAGCCCTTAAGTCACATATAAATGCATACTGAATAGTGATTTTTCAGAATAGTATATTAATTGTTGGACTAAAAGACATATTTTTAACAAATCTTTACAATGTTTAAATTGGATTAACTTGAAATTCCCTTATATCAAGTCAGAGAAAAGGACCCTCTACCTCAGTATTGCCTACACCAAGTAGAAACATCTCTAGGGTCTAGACTTTGTCTGTGCAAATTGTGTACACTAGTAAAGTATCACAACACTGTTTTAAACAAATTCGAGCTTCTAAAGTACTGATGATTTTATTAAGCCCAAAGAACCTCTCCTTGAATTTATTTTAGGTCTTGTCTATATCACATTAATGAAACATTTTCTCTACTGCTTTAAAAGTGTAATATGTTAAATTGTTTTGACTTAATTCATTGTAACTTACTTTGACTAATAATTTAATTTGTAATATTTTATTATATAGTATGCCTTATTTAATACAACTTGAAGTAGTGCGCACAAATAATTTAAGTTCTCCCTTTTAAGATATGCAATGGGAGTCTCTTACAAAATGTACATGAATTCCCAATAGATATATTAACTATAATGAGGCGAAAGCCAAATCCCATAATTTAAAATCCAAATATACATAGGATATGGAATAGGATGCACATTCACTTTCCTAGGTAGACAAATGTTTACTTCTTTTTTAAAAATAAAATATAAAGTTTGTCAGTTTTGATAGTAATTAGGAGAAATTGATCAAAATGTGTCAGAAGGTGACACTAAGAAATTTAACAGAAATCAATGCAAATCCTGTATATGTTGTATTGTACATTGTCTTTCCAATCTAAAGTACAGTATTTCCCTAATTGTCTATTTTCCTTGTATTATTGTACAATATAAACCATTTACCACAACAGAAGAAAAAAGGCAAGGACTTGAAGGAAGTCCAAGGTTTTTTTTTTATAAATCTCATATTAAAATTTAATGAGTCTTAAAACCTGGCTCAAGTTTCTCACTTAATTGGTTGGCAAATAAGCTACATCTACATTGGGACCGAAGTTAAAAAATCAATGCTCAGTTATTCTCGATTACAACGCTACTTTTTGCTACTTTTGTTGCAGCCCTGCTCTGCTTAAAACGATTTACGCCCAAGCCATGAGAAACGACCTTTGTAATCTTAGCAACAAAAGACACACTTGAGACGATCTACGTACAATCACGGGGCACGAACTTATCTAGTCGACCACTTAGCAGGAAAAGTGACAACGAAGGGAGAGCAACGAACGATTCGAACCTCCCCGTATCCTATTTCCTCCTCCGCCTTTCCAACGAATACAAAAGGGATTGAAAAAAGAAAAACCAAACAAACCCGAGTGCAACAACTTGTCGGGAAAGTCGGTCACAACGATTCCCCCCCTCTCACCCCCCCCTTCCCGCTGGCCTCAGACTCGCAGGAACAAGCAAAGCAAGGAGAAAACAAACGGGCCACCGGAAGGGAAATGGGAGAAGAAAGAGAATCCCAGGGCTTTTTTTTAAAGGACGAAATGCCGAAAGGAAGCCTTTGAAGGCTTTCCACGCCGCGCGAGGGCTGCACGCGCAATCGCTCCTGGAAAAGCCCTGCCAAGTAGAGAGGAGGGGAAAACTTCCAGTAAAAACTTTTTTTGTGGGGGGGGGGGGAGAAGGGAGACCCTCCTCGTCCCGCGCAGGTCTCCCAAAGCTGCTACTTGCAGGCGCGAGGCTGCTACGAAGCGGACCGAGCACCTTCCCCCACGGGCTGTGGGCAGGATCGTGCGGGGCCTAGAGCTCTCTAGGCGCCGGCGCCGCCGCGCAACAAGAGCGGAGAGGGAAAGGCTCGGGGAGGAGGAGGAAGCGCTGGAAAGTCTCCTCACCTGCTGTCCGTGGGTCACTCCGGGAGAAACCGCCGAGCCTCCCCCTCGCAGGGGAGAGGGCGCTCTCGCTTCCGCTTCAGAACGAGCGGAGTTGGTCCGGCGGCGAATCTCGCTGTGTGGAGGGGGGGGACTCGCGTCTCTGCTACTCCTGGGACTCAGCTACAGTCCGACGTGCTCAGCCCTGCCACAAGCGCCCCATAGCCTCCGGCCAGGGACTCCCAGGGAAACGGCGAGCCCTACCGTCGCCTCCAGAGGCCGTATCGCAAGCCCAGGCCGAGAGGAGAGGGAGGAGCCGGGATGCTCGCCTTTCCACACGCGCACCAGGAGGCGGGCGGCGAGGCGTCGGGTCCCCTTCAAGGCAGCCCCAGTTCATCATCCCGACCTAACATGGCGGCCGCCGGAGACCCGGCTAGGGAAAAGGGAGAGAGGAGGGGGTGGAGGCGGCGGCAGCTGTTGCTGAGAAGCAACTCCGGCTCTCCCGACGCGGCGGAGGCAGCTTCTACTTTCGTAGCTTCACTTCCAACAGCGCCCCCTTCCTCTGGGAACCGGAAGCCCTGACCTCCCGCTGCCGGGGGTGGTTGGTTGGAGGTCAGGACCTGCAACGTTGAGAAGGGAAGTGGGTATTTCTTGAAAAGGAGAGTGGGAAGGGAGCAGGCGATTCTGAAACCGCAAAGTTTCTAGGACAAGTTTCGTTCCCAATAGCAGCAGCGTTAAACTTTTTCAACATGTGCAAAATGCTGCCCGCGTTAATCCCCACGAGCAGCTTCACCTTATGCGGTGCTGTAAATCCATATTTCCACTGAGCGAGGGTGAGGGCTAGAGACTGCTGAGAAAATAAACCTTGCTTCTTCCATCTGGTTCGACAACCCTCTCGAAGTTCGTTGAACAGTTCCTTCCAGTGCAACTTGCTTTCGTTTAAAGTTAGTCTGTAGAATAGAATGGATTCAAGCAGTTTAAATCAGGGGTCAACAACTGGACCACTGGTGATCTGCGAGAAAATTTTGGTGGCCCACAGAAAAATTATTTGCATTTTTTATATTGCACCATTTATCTTTTTAAAAATTCATATTAGTGGCGCTCAGGATCTAAAATTATGAATTTAGTGGTCACCTCTGATTTAAATGATCTATTTAATAAAATAACCCCCATCCTGCCTTTCTGACAGATGCAGCTTATAAAGTACCAGAATTGTCTTGCTTAATGATTGAATAATCATTTACAACCTGAGACTTCCCAATAATGATCCTGAAGAATGTTTTTCTACTATTCCTTTCAAATAATCAAAAACTATTTTGCTTGAAACAATATCAGCTACAAACATATAAGCAACATTAGACTGCAAACAGTGTCTTAATGGGGTGTAATTACAGGCATTTCTAGACAATGCTGTAAGTGTTGTGCATTTATTCTTCATTTGAAGAATGTTATGACAGCACAATAGTTTTCCAATTATGATATACTTTTTCTACCACAAGAAGTCAAGAAAGATTAGGCTCCTCCCATACTAGTAGGTCTTTACACTACCAATCAACACACTATTCTTTTGTAATAGTACGGTAGCATGTTGGTTGGTCTAAGGGACACGGTGGCTCAGTGGCTAAGACATTGAGCTTGTCGATCAGAAAGATCAGTTCCGTGGTTCAATTCCCTAGCCTAGCGCCGCGTAATGGATGAGCTCCTGTTACTTTTCCCAGCTTCTGCCAACCTAGCAGTTCGAAAGTATGTAAAAATGCAAGTAGAAAAATAGGGACCATCTTTGGTGGGAAGGTAACAGCGTTCCGTGCTCCTTCGGTATTTAGTCATGCCGGCCACATAACCATGGACAGCACTGGCTCTTCGGCTTTGTAATGGAGATGAGCACCACCCCCTAAAGTCGGGAACGACTACCACCTATGTGCGAGGGGAACCTTTACCTTTACCTTATGTTGGCTGGTAGTGTAAACACCTACTACAGTAGTATGGGAGGAGCCTAACATTTTCTACAGACTTAAAATCTGTTATAGGTCAATTATACTACCGGTAATTTTGAAAAGGACTGATATTCAAGGGTGCTAGAGGAGTTTGTGTGTGGATTTTAAATGACATATTTTGTGGCTATGATTGTGTGATCAACGTGCTGTCTTTTTACAAATTCAGTACTTCTGCATTAATATGACCTAAAATGTTTTCTGTTCTCCATACAAGTCCTAAAACTAGATACAGGCAGTCCCCAGTTTGGTCAGAATGGAACCTGCCCCTTGTGGTTGGAAGTCATAACTCTCATTAAGCAAGATGCCCATCAATCCCATCCTTGTTCTCCCTGGTGTTGTTGTTAAGCGGAACACAGGGTGCTTTGGGTGGGGAAGGCACTGGGAGACCTAATCTAGGGCCACTTCATTAAGCACTCCATACTTTGCTTCCCAACCCTCAGGGTCCCCACTGGCTTTCAAACTGTCCTCTCCATCCCGTATCACCTTCTGTAGGTCTCATTTTGGACAATCTAAAGATAATGTTGGTGCCTGGTGGTGCAGTGGTTAGAATGTAGTATTGCAGGCTAACTCTGCCCACTGCCAGCAGTTTGATTCTCACCAGTTCAAGGTTGACTCAGCTTTCCATCCTTCTGAGGTTGGTAAAATTAGGACCCAGATTGTTGGGGGCAATAAGCTGACTCTGGTAAACCACTTAGAGAGTGCTGCAAGGCGCTATGAAATGGTATATAATGCTAAGTGTTATTGCTTACTTGCTCATTTATTCATTGACGAAAATGAATCAAAGCTACATAGTTGGGACAAGGGTATGCAAACCTCCAGGATTATCAGTTTCATTTGAAGGGAAAATTAGCATCAGGTACCTCAATCAATGCAATGATAATCAAATGTAGTATGAAAAGTCCTGCTTTATTTGAAGAACAGTATTCTATCAAAGTCTGATTTTCACATCACATATATGTCGAAGTGTGTAATGGCTCAAATAAAGGAGATTTCTAAGGACCTTCAAAAACATTCCTCAATATTTAGGTGCAGTTATTGCTGCCCTTGTGTGCCCTAGGAGTCACACTAATTACTTTTCAAAATAGAAATGTTGTTAAAGATTACAATTACAATAGCCCTGTTTCAGGTGATACAAGCTCTCTTGGGTAATGAGGCCTTCAAAACCTTTTGCAGGGATGTGCAGAATAATTTGTTCAGCCTCTGCCAAACAAAATGGAGGAAGATAACTGGAAATAGCAATAGCAGTTAGACTTATATACCGCTTCATAGGGCTTTCAGCCCTCTCTAAGCAGTTTACAGAGTCAGCATATTGCCCCCAACAATCCGGGTCCTCATTTTACCCACCTCAGAAGGATGGAAGGCTGAGTCAACCTTGAGCCGGTGAGATTTGAACAGCCGAACTGCAGAACTGCAGTCAGCTGAAGTAGCCTGCAGTGCTGCACTCTAACCACTGCGCCACCTTGGCTCACAATATGACAGCTTCAGAGGATCCTGAATGAAATGAATTATCTGGATCCTTTTCAGATTTCAGATCTGGTTATGGAACAGAAATGGCATTGATTTTGCTTTTGTATGATTTCTTGAATGACAGGATGGATAGTTCTGCATCCATCCTTGTTTTCCTTGATTTCTCAGTGGCTTTCAATACCAGCAACCATGGTATCCTTATGGACTGACAAATGATTGGGAATGGGTGGCACCATGTTGGGCTGGTTCATCTATTTTCTATGGGGTCAATTTTAGTTGTGGTTGGGGAGGATAGATCTTTCCATTTACTCTCTGCTGTGTGAGGTGCTGCAGGGGTCACACCTGTATCCTCTCCAATTCACCAGCTACATAAACTGCTGGGTTACCTTATCTGTCACCATGGTTTGAGATATGATCAGTGTGTGTATCACCAGTATCCCTGATTAATTAACCAATGCAGTGTACATCCTATCCCAATATTGGGGGCTGGAAAGGTCTGGATGGAGAACAATAGGCTTCAACTAAACCCTGGCAAGATTGCACAGCTTTGGGTTTTGAGATACTGGAGTTGCACTGCCCAAACAGGTCCTTGGTACAATCTGCAGGTTGTCATTGGAGTCACAATTCCTGCTTGAGGAGCAGGTGGCAATTATGGCTAGGAAGACCTTTGCATAACCTCATATTGTGTGCCATTTACACCTGTTCCTGGATCAAGAGGCCCTACTCTTGATCACTCATGCACTGGCCACTTCCCAATAGGACTATTGGCAATGTACTCAATATGAGGCTTCCCTTGAATGATATTCAGAAACTTCAGCTTCTTCAAAAAATTGATGAGAGCATTTGTGGTAGTGCATATATTACACCTCTGTTGTGTAAACTGTATTGGTTACCAGTTTGTTTCTGGATCCAATTCAAGATGCCGGGTATTTGAACTACTTTCTTCAAACATGAAATTTGATGTGTCATGAAAAGAGCTTTGGCTCTATTGAATCTGGGTCACAGCAAAGAGAATAATTATACAAAACTGGAAAGAAATTTATTCTTCTGAGATTAAGGAATAGAGTTAAGATATGATTTTATTATCTATTTATGAAAAGCCATAATAGCTATTAATATTGATTCTTTTCATTTCATTTATATGGCATTTACTTTAGGTAAATACTAACCCATTGCATAGAAATTACCTAGATGGTGTACAAAGATTAACAAAAGCTGAAAATTAAACATGATCCAACAGAAGAAAAATAAAGTAATAGAGCAGTATTTCTCAACCTCAGCAACTTTTAAGATGCATGAACTTCAATTCCATATTCATTCTGTTTTTTTAAACAATAAAATATCTCCCCAATCCTTATATAGGACAGACAGACACACATACAGAAAACAACCTGTCTGGGTCAAGTGCTTTTGTGTCTCTCTTCAGTCTGGGTCAATCCAATTGGGTACAGGAAAAAAAAAGAACCTGTGATGCTGTGACATGACAGCAACACACATTGTGTCAGTACTATTTCAGTTTTGTGGCATCATATATGCTTATTTATGTCTTGTTGATTTTAACTGGACTTATTCCAGATGTGTCTTTGCAGATTATTCTTTGGAACTCCTTTGTTATTATTTGAAATGAAAGTTAACATCACAGTTATGTCTAATGTATTTCATAACAATTCTTCTGTAACTTGACAGGGGGAAAAAAGAATTAACATGCTTTCTTTAATCCCTGGCAGCATCTGTTTCAGACTATTTGCTCCTTAAGTAAATAAAGTTTATGTGTGCTCTTCTAAGGTGGTGTTTTTAAATAAAAAAAAACACACACAAACTATTTTTAACCATAATATATACATGATTGAAAATCATTTTTGCACCCTTGGTTATTAATTCTGTACCTTTGTCTTTCACATTTGTTTCATAAATAGTTACAGCAATAAGCCGGATTACATTATATAAAGCAAATGTATTGCTGTTTGCTAATCTTTATCTCTTGATTTCCCGTCTCCGTTTGTTGGCACAAGACTGTTGCTTATGGTTACTTTAA